ACGAAACGCGATTGGCTCAATAACATTCTCTTTTCCATTTACCATCGGCGAATCGAAAAATCATTCGTCTTGCGTTAGCCTTTCAATGAATTTCTAATTACGAGATAATACGTTAATGCCTTCTGAGAAAGGTTGATGGACATCTATGGAAAGAATCCCGATCGAGTCACGGCTTATTAACGATTGCGACATGCAATAAATCTTGTTCTTTTACAAGCGACGTTTGCACAGCTGCTGTCGTTACATACCGATAACAATAGCTACAACATAAACCAGTGCGTGAAACCCGATCACCGAATTGCCAAACACCGAGTGCCGCGGCGCGCTGGTTTCACTGTCTGACCAACGCGTACCTGTTCCACTGCGTTCGTTCAACTATGTACCTGCCTATTTGATTTCCTATCAACTGTATAAGTAGACATCAAATTATACAATTTGCTTTCCATAATGCATTTACTTAGAACATAATGTAAATGTTCTCTTTTTGTTAACTGCACAGCAAAGTAACATGCATGTGGAGTTTTGCAGTATAATTATTTGGTTTCAAAACATATTTGTCTATTCATATTATATTCGTTCAAGTCTCTACGTGAGTAAACGAGAGCAATTGAGAAAATGTTGATTGGTCCTATTTTATTAGTCATGTACGCGGGGTTAGTTTTTCTCTCAATGTCCCTTTTATTCGCCGTTTATCCAGATAAAGCGTCGCACGGTTGAAGAGGGCGATAACGAGCACGTACAGTAGAACGTGTAGGACACGGAACACGGAAGGGGGATCGATAAACGCGCTTTCGTGAACGTTGCAATTTCCAACCGCGACGATAGCGAATCGCGGCTACGTCCAGCACGAAGGTGTCCCTGAAAAATTAGAATTTCCTACGGCTACCCTGCAACACCGCTGGAAAATTACGTTCCCGGACGAATAATATACTCGTGTCCTCATGAATCTTCCCGAGGGACTTTGTCTACTAGATAACCAGATAAAAATCTTACTGCAATAAATTACATGATATCGGTTTCAGTTAGTCGAGATTTGACATCTCACAATTTTTAGAATGCAATTTTCAATTTGCACCTTTGTAGTATTTCATTTACGTAACATACCTCTGTGTTTAACTTTTAAAGTAAGCTGAGAAGAAATAGGAAAAGATTTTTCAATATCGTGTATAAAATAAATTCAGTATTAAATATTTTATGTAACGACTGTAAAGTCGAAATTTTATTTTAGAGATTTCCATTTACCATCGGCGAATCGAAAAATCATTCGTCTTGCGTTAGCCTTTCAATGAATTTCTAATTACGAGATAATACGTTAATGCCTTCTGAGAAAGGTTGATGGACATCTATGGAAAGAATCCCGATCGAGTCACGGCTTATTAACGATTGCGACATGCAATAAATCTTGTTCTTTTACAAGCGACGTTTGCACAGCTGCTGTCGTTACATACCGATAACAATAGCTACAACATAAACCAGTGCGTGAAACCCGATCACCGAATTGCCAAACACCGAGTGCCGCGGCGCGCTGGTTTCACTGTCTGACCAACGCGTACCTGTTCCACTGCGTTCGTTCAACTATGTACCTGCCTATTTGATTTCCTATCAACTGTATAAGTAGACATCAAATTATACAATTTGCTTTCCATAATGCATTTACTTAGAACATAATGTAAATGTTCTCTTTTTGTTAACTGCACAGCAAAGTAACATGCATGTGGAGTTTTGCAGTATAATTATTTGGTTTCAAAACATATTTGTCTATTCATATTATATTCGTTCAAGTCTCTACGTGAGTAAACGAGAGCAATTGAGAAAATGTTGATTGGTCCTATTTTATTAGTCATGTACGCGGGGTTAGTTTTTCTCTCAATGTCCCTTTTATTCGCCGTTTATCCAGATAAAGCGTCGCACGGTTGAAGAGGGCGATAACGAGCACGTACAGTAGAACGTGTAGGACACGGAACACGGAAGGGGGATCGATAAACGCGCTTTCGTGAACGTTGCAATTTCCAACCGCGACGATAGCGAATCGCGGCTACGTCCAGCACGAAGGTGTCCCTGAAAAATTAGAATTTCCTACGGCTACCCTGCAACACCGCTGGAAAATTACGTTCCCGGACGAATAATATACTCGTGTCCTCATGAATCTTCCCGAGGGACTTTGTCTACTAGATAACCAGATAAAAATCTTACTGCAATAAATTACATGATATCGGTTTCAGTTAGTCGAGATTTGACATCTCACAATTTTTAGAATGCAATTTTCAATTTGCACCTTTGTAGTATTTCATTTACGTAACATACCTCTGTGTTTAACTTTTAAAGTAAGCTGAGAAGAAATAGGAAAAGATTTTCCAATATCGTGTATAAAATAAATTCAGTATTAAATATTTTATGTAACGACTGTAAAGTCGAAATTTTATTTTAGAGACGAACGATAAAATAGCACGGTTTTCCCGAAAAGAATTTTAAAGCAGGAATCGCGGTGGAAGAAATACGGGGATCGGATTTTATCAGGGGATTCATCGGACTCGGTGTGCTTTTCTTCGCCGCAGGACGGATGTAAAAACTTAAAAAGCATCGCTGATAGGTCGAAGCTTCAGGGAGCTTTTAAGCCAGCGACCGGTTGCCAGCTCAGCTGCCGAGCATGCTTTACCGTGAACGGTCAGCTAATTCATCGCTTCGCCCTACAATCTTTTCTACGGAATTCTCGGGAACTCGAACTTACTTCATTTAATTAAACTAACGGTTGTTTCACATGTTTCCGAGTAAAATTCGCAAGTTATTCATTATTTATTCAAACTTTTAAGACTCCTCTATAAAATTGTTTCTGTTTTATTTCTCTTGCGAACTGGAGAGAACATCGTAGAGTATTACGGATCGTATAAACTGTAATAGCGACTGAAATTTTCCGCGTTCAATATTCAGACAAAGGAAGTTTCGGGACAAGCTAATAAAAAGAAAGCAATAAAAGGAGTCGTCAATGTCGAGCGTAGCACGTGACCAACATTAATATTCGCGCACGGTTTCGGAAACGCAGGAATATTATTTTTCACAAGCGAGAGAGACACGGCTCGATTAATATTCCGGTCAGAATCGCACAAAGGACAAGTCGGGAAAGGATCACTCCACTTTTCAAGTCCGGTTGGAAAAGAAACTGGCAGGGTTCACTGGCCGCAGCAGCGGGAGGTCGTGGAACGGAGCGCAGCATGCGTCGTCGACGACGACTCAGTTTTTTGGCTTCGAATAACACCGCATGGGAGCATCGAATTTTCATCTCCGATGGGAATCGATTCGTTCGAGTTTGTCTCGTGAAAAATTCGCAGTAGTGCAAGTCAATCATTCCACCGACTTGCATCAATTTCTACTTACTTGTACAAGGTGAGTCAGTAAGAAATACCATATAAAACAACGTGTCATTTAATGATTTTATCAAAACACGTTGTGTAGGAATTCATTATATGATGCGATTCATCAAGTAAATGAATTTATCTCTGTATCTTAAATTAACATGAATTTTTATCAGGCTATCTAATGTGATCAATGATTAGTGGATAATTTGAAACGATACTTTTAACGAATGCACTCTGCATTTGCATACAAAATTGTAATAAAGAAATGGATGAACCTCATCGAATATGCACAAGATAATATTTACATAAAATTGATCAAAAGTTGTTATAAATGTACAAGAAGATGCGGAAGTAGGAAGCATAGAGGAACGGAACTGCAGCTAGAATTGATACGATTTCGATACAATTGCACAATAAAGAAATGAATCAACCGTTCCCTATCTTGTCTTGTCCCAGACTAGTATGAACGAATTGCGAGGCCAATGTAGAATGCAAATGGGTCAGAGAGTGTATCACATAGTTACACCGTTCGACGCAGGGGAATAATCACCTAGACTCCATACTGTATGCTAATCGGCAACTTTATTCTGCCATTGTGACAACACCTGTGCGGTATCGAGTTTCCGAGGTGACGACGAAATGTTTCTACGTCACCTTCAAAAACGGAGACAAGGGTGTGACCCGGAAACCGAAAGGGCTCACGTGAAGTAAGGGTGAAAGGTTAAAGTCCTGTCATCCACTCGTTTGAAAAGTATCAACGATTCATGGATTGATATTGGAGACAAAGATTTTGGTCTTAATAAGTTATGGAATTTCGGAGATGTTCTAATCATAATCTCGCGTCTCACGTAAAGCGCAGCTTTCATAATTCGTTTTAATTAAAATAAAATTTCATAATAAGCGTTCCTATTGACTGATAATGATTAAAGATAGAATACGATTTAAGTGAAAATTGCGTGAGGAAAGAAATAATAACAAGGGAAGATGCGAGTTGGCGGATAAAAAGAAAAAAGAAATACGTCGGCGAAACTGCATCTCGCCTTCACCCAGCTGCCTAGCCAATCAGAAACGACCTTCGTCGGTTTTGCTCTTCTGTCGGCGCCGCGGCGGGAGTATCGATCTTTCTCTTTCGTCGAACCGAACTGAAAAACCGTGCGAGACGTTGAAAAATTCCGGCGTCGGCAATCTCCGCGACGCGCGGGTCCGTCGAACCGTGAAAATGAATCGGGAAATCTCTCCGTGTCGTTCAACGTCGACTTTTCTATCTGACTACTCCCACCACTTCGTGATATCATCGCGGCGTGCAGCGTGAAATGTCGAACTGTCAAAACCTAATCTGGAAGGTCGGTTGAAGTTGGAAATAAATCTTAATTGTAGGTACTGAACGCAACATACTATGATTCATCACTAACGGAAGAAGAGCGACTCAACCAAAAATGCAATTTTTATTTAATTCATTCTATTCTTTATTTAGTTCATTCTATTCTTTATTTAATTCATTCTATTCTTTATTTAATTCATTCTACCGGACACAGAAAAATACTTTCGGCTCATAGATTCTAAAAATATTCTTAAGTAATTTCGGGGCGTAAGCTTTAATCGAGTATTTTAATAGGCAATAGTTCCGACGTTATTCTCGGAGCTCACCTTGTTTCCATACCAGGCGGAAAGTTGCCTCGTTGCAAGTTGTAAGGATAACCCGAGGATGGCTGGAACGGAGGACGTCTCCGAGGCGTTCGACGACGCTGATATCGGTAACGTTGACGGTGTTGAGGCAGCGGCAATTGGACCCTGTGTATCGCGTTTGGCAGCCTCCAGCAGAGGACATACGGTACCACCGTGCAATTAAGTTTCACCTGCAGCACTGGTAGCAACCGATACCCGAGCCCACGTGGATGGAAGGACGCTGATCGGTTATCCTCGATCGAGCCGTGCGCCAGGAGGCGAGCCTGGAGGACGTTGTAGTCGCGACAGCCAAGGTCACGGGGTAACATGTCACGAGGACATCCCTACCGGCCTTCGAACTACCGTTTTCTAATACGTCTTATCATCTTCGATTCCACTCTTCCAAACAGAAGATAGATACTGTTCCAAATTGCACACGTTGGTTGCGTTAGCCGACCTCTCACTTGCTATTCACTCTTCCTGTTTGTCTTTCCAGTACCCTAATCGATATCGATCGAAATTTAACGGTAACTGAACTTCACTGCTCTCTACTATTTAATCAGAACTCGAACTTCCTCTAATCAGTCTGTGCGGATCAAGGAACTTGGACCAAGCACTCTCGCGAGTCGATCCGACGATGAACAATCATCATCCGGAACAAGACTGGACGAAGAAGCATGTTGATATCTGGATCAGAATCGTCGCGAGGCTAAGCGGAGAGGGCGTCGAGATGGCCGGTCGGCGACACTCCCTTCGCGGTGGAACACGCCGGCCTTAGCATCGACTTGTGCGCGAGCGAAGCCGAGCGACCGGGCGCGAGACCGAACGAACCCAACGAACGAACGGACGTGGAACGAAAGCCGGGAGAGGAAGGAACGCAGCCCCGTAGGAGGATCCGCGTCGCTCCACGCCGCGCCGCGCCACGAATTTCAAACGAGCTGCGCGCGCGCACCTACCTACGTGCGCTTCTACGAAGAAGTTGCGCGCAAAAAGGAATCGGACACGTATCCTCATCAGAATTAATCGTTCAACTCTCTTCCTAATACGCGGGACATAGGTGAACTTACTTATAAACAAATAATAGACTCATCAGAATCTAGGAAACATTATGCACAGATTATATTATCATACACATGATAATTCGAGTGAACATTGTATAAGATTAATGAATTTCCAATGTCTTTCACGGTTTTGAAAAATCGTGAAAACATATCCATGTAGATACGAATTTATATAAGTACATTATAACACGATTTGAAATAATTTTTCTTTCAGTGAAACATATAGCGACCCCTTTGCTCTATCGGAGTAAATAATTTACAAGATTAATGAATTTCGTAAAAGCGTCGATTGTTAACTTACTAATGAGTCTGTTGTGGAATTTCAATCGGCGTTATCTCGGCATGTAGGTGAGCACCTGCCCGAGCGGACTGAAAATTTTATCGAAGGGTCGGGGAGAAAAGGGTGAATGGTCGCGTGGGTCGTTTACACCTGCCCCTCTCTTAGCCTGGCTACCCTGTAGGCATAAACGTATACAGGTGTAGGCTAATACCCGGTCACGAATCAGTGATCATCGTGACTGCATCGTAATGAAACGATTTACGAGCTCGTTTAGAAATTAAAAAGTTCATAAATTCAACAACCATTCGAGTCTTTCATTTCATTTTTTCCAATTTTACCATGTGATAAAATGCATTTCTAGTTGCTTAAAATACATTTATATAAACGATCGTAGAGATAGAAAAATGTACACGGGATTGTTACGATAATTCAATAAATAATTAAAATCCAATCGAAGGAAGAAATGCGATTCGAAATGGTGCGAAGAATCGAAGAAAGAAGCTGATAAATGTTACATGGTGATATCAAGGAATTGGGTCAGCATATCGAAGGTTTTGTTTGAGTTCCTTCGAAGGAGGTGGGCATACAGAGGCAGACTGAAAGTCGAGTCAGAGGGTGAAGTGCGTCCTTAAGAGGATGTCTCGGAGCTAGCTACGTCGGAGTCGATCGATCGGGTCTCGAAAGTATCGCAATCTCCCGGCCCGTTTATTACTGATAACAGAGACTATCGCGACGCTCCACTGCCGCATAATCACCCGTTACATCGTTGACTAATTGGTAGCGAGCGGATCGCAACTGCCAGATAACGCGAGATCTGAAAGCTTGACACGCGGAGAAGCGATTTTCAATTACCATGGATAGAAAATTGTGGACCCGGCTGCCACTAATTATAGGATATAGGCACCTGACCAAGCAATAAATAAATTTCCACCTCTCGTTAACGCGTGCACCGTTCGCTCTTCTTTTACCTCGATAATATGTATCAATTTTCGTTTAAAAATAACCGATTTTGTAGCGAGAAATAATTGCACTTTATCGAGACACGCTGAGATTTACTACACGTGGTTAATTGCCAGTGATCTAGAGCTTGGAAATAAAATAGTCTCTGATTCTTTGATGTCACACGATATCTCAGTTACAAGTTGTACGACGTCGTAACGCCTGTCATGTACATAATGATATTTTATGCTTGTACTTAAACCTGCCAGCACTGAGTGACAAGTTCTCCCTGTTCTAGTTCCCACATCAATATATAACCGAGAAGCAGATTTCTTTCTGTCTGCACCGTAAAGAGGGTTAAATATAGTGTCGCGTGTAATTATGTTACTGTCGTGAATGATAGTGTAAAGACGTCCTGTCAGTGGGCGATGGTAGTCCTCTTCGGAGGTCCTTCAACCCTCGAGTATGATCGACGTCCTGTACAATGACCGTTCGTTCCCAGACATTTTTTTCGACCAATAATTATAGCTCGATCTATAATTCAAAATTCGGGCTCAAATTCCAGGAGCGAGTTTGTTCGAAAAAAAGCGAACAGCTGCTGCGTTCGACTGGTCGTCCATGCAAAATCGAGGCATGCAACTACAAAGAACGTGGTGCACCGCCGGATTTGCATGCCCAACGCCAGCCTTCGCCGATACGTGATATCCTTACGAACAGGGTTCTGTTCTTCTCCCAGGGCGTCCCAACCCAACGTGTGGTAAACCAGCCGCGCGACGAGCCTCGACGAATACGAAAACGCGTTCCGACATGTCCGACGAATTTCGCACGCTAAGAACATTCAAAGTCTTCCTGGGAACAAATTTTCTTGCATTTCCATATCATGATACACACGGCAGTTGGTCTAATTATTGGAATCTACTAATTGCAACAAACATTCATTCGCTTGATAAAATATATTTTTGTGCATTCGTGGAGTAGAAAGAGATGTTTGTCGAAAACATGTAACGTAAATAATAGCGCACAATATTTGAACCATTAATTGTTTTTAGTCGCAGGGTACGCGACGGGATACTGATGTAACGCTATTAAAACAGCAAACAATAACCACGGTAAACACTCACACTCACACGAAATTGTCAGTGGTAGAAATAAAGAGAGAAAAGGGAAAGAGGGTAGAAAATTTCGAATCGGGGGTGCGTTCGACGCCGGCCCTGGGCGTTGCACGCGCCACAGCGTCCTCGTTCACCCAAGGGTAGCTCGGCTCGTCGAAACTACCCCTTCGCACGACCATTGGTCCCTGTGGTTCGCATGCGCGCCGCTCGAGAACCAACCCTATTGATCCGTCGACGCGGCGGTTCGCTCCTCTCCCCCGCGGCCGCGACAACCCCTACCCGTCAACGTCTCACCCTCACCCTTTGCGCTCCTTTTTTCTCTCGCCCCCTTTCTTCCGCGAGAACACTCGCATCGTACGCAAAATCCGGAGATGCGCGACGAGATTCACCGAGGCTCCTCTGCCCGTCCATCGTCGCCAACGCCTCCGAGCATTCGTTCATTGTCTCGGTTTCGAGCCAACGGAGAGGATGTCTAGCCTCGTTCAGCATCCTTTATCGACGAGAACAGTGAAGAATCTTCTCGGTGGACGATATCGGATATGCTGACCACCCACGCAACACGATTTCTAATAAGGATGTTTGCAAAGACTCGGTGAAATGTCAACGGGAATCGCGATTGCAGAACACCGTTCACCGTGTCGCAACTCGCTGGCTCGTCTCGAGCGAATCTTGATCAACACCGTGTTACAGAGAAAACTCAGGAAGGAAAGACGCTTTCAGATCGTAATTGCAGGTGCGATATCAATATCGAACATCGGACGGAAGCGCGAAACGAAGAAGGTGACCCGCGAGACAAACGGAAAGAAAAAGGAATGTCGAGTACAAGAATTTTCTCCTTTGAATCTTTCGCGCCCTCTCGTCGATCGTTTGAGACCGTTCTCTCTCATTCTCCCTTTAAACTGGCCGTCATTAAAGGCAAATGAAATCACAATTTTCTCCGCGGTGAGTTTCTTTCATCCCCCTCCTGTCCTCTTCTTCTGTAATTATTTCTGCTCCGCGAAGATCTAATTTCCACGGCTGGTAATATCGATTAAAGCGCGGGCACCAACTGAGTAAACGAACGAACGCGGAAAGAAAATCCTGGGAAACTCAGTTCCCTTTATTATTTTTGCCTCTGTCTTCAAAGAAAAGAGAAACGATATGGTCTTCGATATTCTGGGTTATGCAAATTTAAAATTAAAGAGCCTTTAAAGATTTTTGAATGCCACAGTTAGATTTTACTAGCGTTTCCTGCGCAAATTGCTTAATAAGTTGACCTAATAACCTTTAGAGTATTTTTAACTTCCACTACTACATGTACTTTAACTTCAATAATTAACTGTAACAGTCTATAATCGAAAGTCTCGCGACGAGAAAGGGCATTGTAAGCAGCACCTCTACTTCACGTTAAACTGGTGGATCTTATTATCGTTTCACCGAAGCAAACTCGATAGGATACGGAACTCGAAGAATCGGAGGGTCCGTCGAGGTAAGAAATGGTTTTTCCACTGAAACAAGAAGAGAAAGAGGACGAAGAATGTACAGAAGAGAGGAGGACAAGTCCAGGCAACGCGGTAGATTGAATATTTAAGAGGCACTCCGTTCGTGCGGAAAATCGAACGCTGTTCCTCCATTAAGGGGGCAAGCTACACCGGAAGAAAAATAACGAAGCCGAGAACGGAATTCCTACCGCACCAGCCTCTTTTCTCTTTCATCGGTAACGCTCGCCTCGAACTGTGCGCATTCGATGAACCTCAGGTAAACAGAAAATACATTGGCTAATTCGTACAGTCGTCCACCCTTATACAACGACTCACCCTTCTCTCAAAAATGTTAATATAATTACATGTAAATGTATACCGCAATCCATTATGACGAATTCTCGTTGCAAAGAAAAAATCAGTTTGGAATACAAGATATTCGAATCGATATCAAGTAGCAACGCAAATGCGAAGACGGAAACGGAATATCAAACGGGAAATAACGATAAATCAGGAACGGGAAAGGAAACAAGTTATAGCGGAATTAACTCGATTTCCCGACGGAAAGCGACGGTGTGTACGTTTGACGGGGATGCTTCTCGCGTCGAAGCCGCCGTCTTACGAAGTTCGGAGCCCCGCGACTCGAAAAGTTGTCGAAGAAGCAAACTTCGCACGGAACGGGGTTACGAAAATATTGGTTCAATGTATATGTATACATACGTGTATAGAGGATTGACGCGAGATACATATTGCATTAAGACGTTGAATCGGCGTTACGTAGTTTCCAGTTGCAACGAAGTTGTGCATTGTTAACG